AGTGATACATCCTCTTTTCTCTACCCTAACCCCAAAGATGGAGAAAGACTCAGTCCTGTTTATCACTCTCCCTTTGCACATAAAGCAACGTGTATAAGTAGAGAGAGGAAAAAAATGATGTAGATACTTGTTCACAAGAGCCTGTATAGCTCTACCGCTTCCTAGTTTGGAAAAATTTCATTAGGAAATCTATTTTTTTCTCTTGTTTTGAGTGGATTAATCGAGAGTTCAAGTCAGATGCACTTGCAGTTTGAAACTTCAAGACCAAGGGTTACCTACAGCTTGGTAAATGTTCATAGTAGCATTTATAAGAAATCACTTGCTTTTTGTAGGTCATATACTGTATTGTAACTGTGGCTATCCAAAACTGTTAGAAATGTAATGGTGTTATTAGGACAGTATTTGGGGTTGGAAATAGCAGGGTGACGGAGATTTTACAAACTTTTGGAAGAATAAAGGTAAAAGACACTCAAAGATGATGCTCCCAAACACCTTTATCTGAATTTTCTCTAATGCTTAGCACAGGTAAAGACTGGCCATACTACAAGGAAAACTCCATTTTCACAGTTTTATTGTGACTTCTTTCACAAAACATCACAATTTGACTTGATAGGGAGGATGAGAAAATATTTTATTGAGAAGTTTTTAGAGAGAAAAGAAATCATGCCACACATATTTGTCACTGATGTTTTCAGTTGCCTTTTCTGCTTCTAAAAAATTTTTATGTACATTTATTGCACACATATATAATATCTTTCTGTATAAAGAGCAAAGAAAAATGCACACCACATTTAACTGCTATCAAACTATAACTTAACTTGCATCATATAAAGCTAATCACAATTAGCTGCCTATCAGTCAGATTTACCAGTGCTGTATTTTTGTACATGTCTACCTTGAAGTATTGCACAAGTTCCTCAACATTCCTACAGCATCCTGCAGTGCTCTGGGACCAGGTCAGGGTCTACAGCAAGAGAATGCAGATCTGATTCCCTATACCTTCCCTGGGTGTTTCCTGGCCCCCAGCAGCATACTTGTAGGGAACCAGGAACCTCTAAATACTGAAGTATGGTCACTAAGTGCACCATGTAGTAGAATGGCATGAGCCCAAAGAATGCACACTACATGTGTTTAATTTGCAATTTTTTTTTGTCATTTCTATTTTTATGTGTTTTTTTCATTATTTTTGACCATAAAAGTCTATGATTCTGGAAAATTTTGAATTCTTTTTCTGTTCTCTAATACAGTTTTTTATATATGTTCAGCAAAGCCAATACATGCTAATGAACATACAAGGAAGAATTTCTACTCTATCCTCCCTCAAGGCTTTGTAGTGAGATTCTGTAAGTCTAAAGCTGATCAGTAAAGGTACAATATAGTTCAGACTACAAGGCAGGTTTAGTGCAGGTATGTATGCTTTGTTTATAGCAATGCTCTCTTACAGAGTTTGTGTTAAAAGAGACTGGTGTTTTGTTATCTTTTTTTCCCGAGCCTCTGGTGTGTGATTAGAAATATTTGTCCCCCTCATGTTGCAATTAAATTTGTCTTGAAAGTTGGGAAAAAAAGAAAAAATGATAATGATTGCAAATATCTTCAAAATGTGAGCTGGTAAAACATGAAATGTTCCTCAGTGTTTCCTTTTTACAGCTGTTACCAGCTCTATTACTGACTCATGTAGCCTACCGTGTCAGGAGTGACTTAAAGGCCTTTGCATTTATGACGTATCTTCTTAAATGGACCAGACCATCTCCTGTTCAAAGCAGCATCTGACTGACATCTCTGTTGGTCATCTGAAAGACAGCTGCCAGCCAGCATCATCATCCCAAGGGAGCATCTCTTCTCTGCTGCAGGGAGCGATGGTAACCCTGACAGGACTGAGAGCAGCATCTGTGCCTCTTTCTGTGTTCTTTAGTATCTTTCATGACTTAAAATTGATCACTACACATGAGGATTGGTATTTTAGTTGAGTTCTTACACATTTTGCTCAGCAATAAAGCACTAAAATAAGCCTGAATTAAGATCTTTGCTTTAGTCTATTACACTGATGGAGCCTGAGTAATTTCCAATTACTCTGGTTTAATGGCACCTTCATGAATGAGTGACAGTATAGTGGTGTAAATAAAGTGTTCTAAAGGAAAGAAGTACATGCTGATGAATCCCTGAAAATCAATTACAAGACAGTAACAATTTTTGATACTGCAAATTACTTGCAAAATAGCTGTGGGCCTCAGTACACCTCTTTGGTGTCTTAATTTTCTAATAAATCTTGAATATGTTTATATGAGTAGCTTTAAAAAGAATTTCTACTAAGGTTGTCAGTGGCAACATTATTGCACCTCCAACTTTAATTGGTCCAAGAGAAAGACATCATCCTCTTTGGGATCTTCTAGTAAGAACAGACCTGAGAAAGAGGTCTAGAGAAACTAGATCTGAGGCATATTTGATAACTGTATCTTCAGAACATTTCTATGTCACAATACAGAATGTAGCTAAAATTAATTCCTCAGTGCAGTTGAACTCAGTTGACATATAAGCTGGCCAGAGGTAAAATTACTTGTTGAAAAGTATGTCCATGTAACTAAATTTCTACACACAGAATATAAGTGAGTGAAACAAAATAACAAACAGTCCAGGACTGTAGAGTTTTTTCAGCACTGAATCTAATACAGCTCAAATTAGTTAAAAAAATCCTATTGTGCCAGGATCTTTTGGTGCCATATGTAATATCTTAGCCCTCAGTTCACTTCCTGGCAGACAAATGTCCAGTTTGGATTGAAAGGGATAAAAAACAGGCAGGAAGAAAAGACAGAAAACAGAAAAAAATTGAGATAATTATCATGAGGGGACAATGCACAGCAAATATATATATATATACATATATATACATATATATATGCAATTTTTAACAGGCATTATTATTTTCTGAATAGCTAAGCATAGATTGACATTTGAAATAGGATATTACAATACTTTTTGGCAGATTTCCACACAGAAAATTTTAGTCTCTGATGGTGCTGCTGTTACCCACAAAGGGCTGTAACACTGCAGCAATTGAAGCCAAACCTTTTGCTACTCCTATGAACTAAGGTCCTGCTAACCACCTTGTTTCTAGCTGGTTTCTGAGAAACAGCTCAGAGCTAAAGGAACCCAGCAGTGCAAATCTAGATGAAAAATAGTTGAGTAAACTAATTCAGCCAAAGACACTGCTAATATTTCTGCTGGTTTTAAAATTTTCCTGAAACCAGTTTATGAAAACTTAACCCTCCATATGCTGAATGAGAGCTGTGTGCCCTAGAAGGAACAAAAGAAAACTATCTCCTTGACTGCTTGAACAGTCTGAGCTCAAGAGGCAATAGGTCGAGGGAAGGGATGATTAGATCACAGAAAGATACTGCATCTAGGTTCCACAATCCTAGAAAGGTACAGCTAAACTGGAGCAAATGCAACAGAGGCTCATGGAAAGATGTCATTTGCGAGGATAAGTGAGAGACAGAAGTTTGTTAAAGAGATGGCTTTGAGGACACCCAGTGACATTCTCCCATAACTACAGTGATGTAATCAAAATGACAGAGCCAGACTTCTTGCAGTGGTGCACAGCAAAAGAGTGAAACAAGGATCGTAAACTGAAAGAGAAAATGTCCAGGATGAATTTAAGAAAAGCTTTTACTCCATGAGGACAGTCCAGCAGAGGAGCATGATGTCCAGGGAGGTTAAGCAATCTTCATGCTTGGGGATCAGCAAGACCCAACTAAAACAAGCTCTGAGCCACTTGACCTGACATGAAAGCTGTCCCTGCCTTGGGCAGGAGGCTGTTTTAGACACCTCCTATGATCCCTCTTCTATTTACTAGATTCACAGAACTGGATGGGTTTTTTCAGCTCACCTGTTGATTCTGTTTAAATGGAAATCTCTTGGATCTTGGAAGCTGGAAAGACACTGTGTTCATCATACTGGAAGCTCTCTGAGATCCTCCATGTAAAGCGATAGCATAAGACTTCCTAAGAGCTTGATGGATACATGTTGTTTTCTATCTCTAATCACTGAAGGTACAAAAAGCTGAAAATAGTTCGTACACCTGAAAACGATATGAAGGTAACTTAGAACTAAATGAATCACACTCAGCAGTTTAATACAGAGCTTTGGGCTGCAAGCTGACCTTGAAGCAAATATATGAATTTCTGAACTGCATACTGTTAGTATTTGTAGCATTTTGTATGAGGGTATGGTTCGTGGCAGATAGTCTGTCTGAATGATCTCCTAGCTCTTTAATCTGAAAGCACAAAGCTGATCCTAGAGCATGAAAACCAGCTACCTCCTTCTAAGATAAATTGAATATCTACGAGAAAAAGTGAAGAGGGCTTTCAATTTTTTTCTTTTTTTTTTTTTTGACATGCATTAGTCCCCAGGATAGATCCACACTTTAAACCATGTCTTTTTGAAAAATGTTAAAAAGTTACAGGCTACAAATTGAGGACTTAATTATATGTCTGGAACTTTTTCTTGCACAGATGAAAAGTTGTATGTTATTTGCTCTCCAGTGATTTTTTGATAGCTGTCCATATAAAGCTACTGAAATCTTGATTTAGAAATCATCACAACAAATGTGTTTCTAGGTTAATTCAATTGGCTGCAATTGTCATTTTTTTCCCACATGCTGTATTCATAGACAGTGTTCAACCTAAACAATAAAAACCCCCACAAATACTAGATAAAGTATTAGACAGCAAGAAAATTAATTTGTTTGAGCAAAAAATTTAGAGGAACTGGAGCCAAACTCGTGGTTTAATATCTTTATGTTTCAATTATCTGGCTGTAAGTTGAGGACCTTAGCAATATTTGCTTTCCTGTATGTTCAATCTTTGGTCTGAGAAGTTTATCCTCTAAATTACAAAGAGCACTTACACATATACATGTACAAGATATGTGATAAAGTGCTATTGCTGGGTTGCTAGATGCTACTGTGATCATCAATGCAAGTAATTAAATAACATCTGAGTTGAACACTACCATCTAATTCTGCAGCTGGGCTTATTTCTCATAATTGTTGAATATCACATAGACATGCAGCCCATTGGGAGTATGCTTGGAGGTTCAATCTTTAAAACTGCTGCAGTCATGAAAAATTACACATTTAGCAATCTTCTCACTTGCTAGCTGAATGAAACTACTTTTGGATAGTTACAGTAATTAAAGAGAAAGAAGATATTTCTGTGTATGGAATTTGAATAATAAGGTTATTTCCTAATTGATCTATGTAAATTGATGAAGATTTTAAATTTCAGCTACCTATGTGTATGTGAAGAGCAAATAAACTCCTTAGATGAACATTTTAACATATATCATCCTTTTGCAGTAGGAATATGTGAGTTGTTAACTGGTTAATTATAGTTTCTTAGAGAAAGGATTTTGAATACTCCAGTACATTTTTTTGATTAGTTATTTGCCACCAGCAACCAAGGATTAGACATGCAGATTGCATTTTCAATTAAAATTAGTCTGTCTTTCAAAAACATCCTTGTCTGCAGTCAAAACCTATGGGTACAAAGGTTTCTCAAGTCAGTGATTTTGAATATCAAATTCATCTTTTGGTATAGCTGAAATAAACAGCATTATACTAATGGTTATAAAAAAGGCAATGAAATTTTGAATCCTTTAATTTGATTCTGAGCTCAGGATAAAAAGGTGGTATTAATAGAAGTTATTTGCTTTACACCTATCAATTTACTCTTATTTGTGTGCAGAGGAAAAATGCCTAGATTTTAAAGGGAATTTGCTGCTTACACAAAGATTTAATGACAGCTTTGGAGGCTGAACTCCTTTACACAGCCACAAAGTATATGTGAGTAAGCTGCATAAAACTTGCAGTACTGCCCTCCCAGTGTGGCACTCATCTGACAAAAGGGAAAACCCTTTTCAAAGTGCATTTGATGAACGCCATTTTAAAATTTGTAAACACGTTATATAAATGTTGGTCTCTGAAGAATCTCATATATTGAGAATATCAGAGACCTGGAAACAAAGGCAAAGAGCAATACAGTGACTAGATTGCTCTGAAAATTTAAAAAAGTTGAAGTGTTTTTTTTCTTTTTTGCAAAGCAAGACAATAGGACAATTGAAAATGTTCAAAAAGTATTATCTCCGTGATGACATTAGGTGTGAGTTATGTCTGTTCAAAGGCTATGACTGACTGAGAATAGATGTACTTTCTCAACTTCTGAGCCATTATTCTGGGACTAATTGTGTATGGATCTATATCCACACATAAAAAAACTGTGCAATATAAATCTACCAGAAGACATCTTAAACATCTTCCTTGCCCTTTGTATAATAATGTAGCTTATGTCTAAAAATACTTCATGTCACATTTTATTTTCAGAAAGGATCAGAATGTCAAATCTAGGAACAGTTTTAGTACAGATACTATTGTGTCTCTTAAATTAAAATAATGCAAAGGTCTCTGAATAAATTAGCACAGTTGCCATGGAAACATAGTGGGCAAGAAATATTTATAGTTGCTGCAAGCAATAATTTTGCAGTTTAATACTTTAAAATGTCAAGCAACACATAATCTCTAAAACAAAATAATTTTCTTTGTCAGTGTGTATATTTACAAATTTCTGTTAAAATATATTTTCATTCCTGCCTCTAGAAAAAATTAAAAATCACAAACCCTCACAAAATATCGGACCCCAATTTTGGTTGGCTAAAAGCATTTTTCAGTTATAAAGACAACATCTTGTCAGATTTAAGTGTGCTATTTTACATATGCGATCATTAAAGTCAACAACTGTAGATTGTTCAAAGCTAATTAAGTTTAGAATAATTTTAAAGTCTAAACTCTAGCAGTAATTGCAACTACAAAAATTGTACATGCCTTATTCATAAATGCAAGATAGCAAGTATCTGATATTCTTATTAAAATGATTGTTATTCCAATTTGTTAATTGAAATTTGAAATTTGTTA